TGAAATCGAAATAAATGCAAAATGTGAAGAAATAATGAAAAATATAGTAAATTGCATTCATTTAAAAAAATTGAAGAAAATTATAATAGAGAAAATAACCTCAGTGACAAAAAATGCCTTATAATATACGATTTTAACCAACTTTTTTTGGATTTGCCAAAATGACCAACTAAATCGCAATGCGATCGATAATTCGCAACGCGATATCCGGTATCGCAAATCAGTTTCCAGATTCGCAACGCGAACATCGACTATCGCAATGCGATAGTCCAAGTTCGTTGCGATAGTCGAAGTTCGCGTTGCGATTTATTCCAAATTCGTTGCGATAGTCCAAGTTCGCAATGCGATAGTGCAAGTTCGTTGCGATAGTCCAAGTTAGTTGCGATAGTCCAAGTTCGCGTTGCGATTTATTCCAAATTCGTTGCGATAGTCCAAGTTCGCGTTACGATAGTCCAAGTTCATTGCGATAGTCGAAGTTCGCGTTGCGATTTATTCCAAATTCGTTGCGATAGTCCAAGTTCGCGTTGCGATTTATTCCAAGTTCGTTGCGATAGTCGAAGTTTGCGTTGCGATTTATTCCAAATTCGTTGCGATAGTCGAAGTTCGCGTTGCGATAGTCCAAGTTCGTTGCGATAGTTGAAGTTCGCGTTGCGATTTATTCCAAATTCGTTGCGATAGTCGAAGTTCGCATTTCGATTTATTCCAAGTTCATTGCGATAGTCGAAGTTCGCATTGCGATTTATTCCAAATTCGTTGCGATAGTCCAAAATCGCAACGATTGATTGTATTGCATTTGTTTCTTAAGAATTTTCTCTAAAAAGATAGTATTCGCGCGGACGTGTCGAATACACGTATTACCACGACCACGACCACGACCCGAGACAAGACGAGACGAGATGGACGGTAGCGGTGGTGGCGCGTGAGAGTGCCCCTTGTTCTCTATCACTCAACAAGGAAGTGGGAAAGCCAAGCCTTAAATACCATTCCCAATAGTGTTTCCAATACTATGTGGGATTGAGCATTACCAACACTTGTTCCCAATACTATGTGAGATTGAGCCTTAAATAGTGATATTATTTGTGAATTATAGTTAATGACTTTAGTATTTGTATGAAAAGTATTTGTGGTTCGTTTTGTTTTCATGCAATTCTAATTTATTTTCAATTGATTATAATTGCACGATAACAATTTTTTTTATTCTCGCGAGTAATGCAATTTTTTTGAATGTTTTGCTTAAAATTGTAATAATCGCGATTGATTGTAGATTGACTTTTAATTATGACATATTTAATCGTATAATACTAATGCAATTGGTTGCTGATTCAGTTGTTTTAAGGTGTATGATTGTTAATTGTTTCCTGAATAATCACATAGTATTGGAAACAAGTGTTGGTAATGCTCAATCCCACATAGTATTGGAAACACTATTGGGAATGGTATTTAAGGCTTGGCTTTCCCACTTCCTTGTTGAGTGATAGAGAACAAGGGGGACTCTCGCGCGCCGCTGCCGTCTGTCTCGTCTCGTGGTCGTGGTAATACATGTCTTCGACACGTACGCGCGAATACTATCTTTTTAGAGAAAATTCTTAAGAAACAAATGCAATACCACCAGTCGTTGTGATTTTGGACTATCGCAACGAATTTGGAATAAATCGCAATGCGAACTTGGACTATCGCAACGAATTTGTGATAAATCGCAACGCGAAGTTGGATTATCGCAACGAATTTGGAAAATCGCAACGCGAACTTCGACTATCGCAACGCGAACTTGGACTATCGCAATGCGAATATGTAAATCGCAATGCGATAGTCGAAGTTTGCGTTGCGAATCTGGAAACTGATTTGCGATACCGGAGATCGCGTTACAAATTATCGATCGCATTGCGATTTAGTTGGTCATTTTGGCAAATCGAAAAAAAATGGTTAAAATCGTATATTATAAGGTATTTTTTGTCACTGAGGTTATTTTCTCATTATAATATATATATATATAATATAAGTTTATATATAAATTATATAATTATTATAAGCTATATATATATACATAAATTTTGTTTATATAAACTATATATGTTATAAAAAGTATATAGTTTATAAACTATAATTTATATTAATATAGTATATATATATATATATTAAACTATATAAAATATATAGTTTATAAAATATAATTTATATTAATATAGTATATATATGTATGTATAACTAATATAAGTAATCTATTATATATATATATATAGTTTATAGAAATATATGCATAAACTATATAAAGTAATAAAATATATTTTATAGAAACCCTAAACCTTAAAACTCAAAATCAATCCATAATTCCTAAAACCTAAACCCTAAACCCTAAACTATATATATAACTTATACTACATGTATATAAAAAATATGTATAGTATATATAAACTATATATGTATATATATATAAACTATATAAAGTAATAAATTATATAGTTTATAGAAACATAAACCCTAAATATTAAACCGTAATCTTAAATCCTAAACCCTAAACTATATATGTATAGACACATTTGATAATTCATATATAGTTTATATAAACAATAGTTTATATAAATTATATATGTAACATTAATCTATAGTCTATAAACAATAGTTAATATATGTAACATATAGTATATGTATACATGTAAACTATATATGTAACTTATAGTACATGTATGTATAAACTATGTATAGTATATATAAACTATATATATATATATATATATATATATATATATATATACCTATAGTATATGTATATACAATCTATTTATGTTATATAAACTATATATGTAACCTATAGTTTATAAACAATAGTTTATATTAGTGTACTATATAGTTTATACTTTATAATCTATATTATATAATTTATAAACTATTGTTTATATTAATGTTAATTATCTTAACTGTAATTTATATTAATATAGTATATAGTTTATAAACTAACTATATAATTTATAAAATATAGTTTATATTAATATTAATTTTATAGACTATATTTTATATTAATATTAATTACAAATTATAAAACTATAAACTAATATTAATATAATAATATTAATTATATAAATATTAATATATATATTTATATTAAGGGCGTGAATTAATCTTTAAAGGCGGGAACTTATTTTCAAAAAAAAATTTAAGGGCGGGAACTAATCTTCACTTTCCATGTGGCACGTTTCAATTTTCAATCATTGTTGATTGTTGATCTGCATTAATATATTTTCAATTGCCATTGTTGATTGTTGGGTCAAATTAAAACATAATAAATACTTATATTAATATTATTTATTAAACTATATAATTTACATAAATTAAACTATATTAATCATTGTTCAATGCCCATATTTTCGAGCTGCTCACGAGCTTTTCGAGTCGAGTATCAAGTAGCTCGTTTCAGCTCGTTAAGAATTCGACTCGAGTCCATTCATCCGAGTATTTATCGAGCATTGACCGAGTCGATCTCGAGTAGCTCGCGATCTGTCTCATCTCGTTTACAGCCCTATTTACAGGTCATGTTAAAAACAAGCCAGGTTCATCATAGGTCATGTTGAAAACAGGTTGGGTAATATCAGTTATTTACCAAGTCAATATCGGGTTCGGGTTCATATTAGTCGGATACAGGTCGGGTTCGGATATTATTTTTTCGGTTCAATTTGAGTTCAAGTCGTTCTCAGGTCGGGTTTAGATCCACAATTTCCAGGTCCAACTCAGATTTAGGTAAACACCAATTCCGACTCGAGTCGGTTTCGAATCGCTACAACGTAGGTTAAATGCAGTTTTAACTCGAGTCTGTTTCAGTCAGTTTTACAGGTGGGGTCATCTTTTTACATCCCTATTCTCAATTGGCTCCCACCCATAATTCTTCTAATGCTTCAGTAGAACTTTCTCCTCCTCTGCCTAGTGTATCATCACCCTGATCACGATTCTGATCATATTGTTCAGCAGCCAGTTTCAAATAACCCGCCATATACTTCACTTCGATCTTCATCTAGGGTATCTAAGCCTTCACATTAATTGAATCATTATGTTCTTTCCTGTCAATCCGCTTCTCTTTCAGATCAGAATCCTATTTCTAAGGCCATTTTTTACTCCTATTTACCTAATGTTGTTTAATTATATACTTTTTCTATTTCTCAAGCCTTTGAGCCTCAAAATTATACGGAAGCCAAAGTTGATACCAAATGGGTAGAAATAGGAGTGTTAAAAAATATTTGACTCGAATGACCCGCCGATCTAATTTAAAATTATCGGATATTTATAGTGAAAATATATGAATTTTCAGGTTAGGTATTGGACCCGTTATTTTTGGCAGATTTTTGGGTTTAAATTTATTGAATTGTATTGAATTATGATTAAATTGATAGAATATATAAATTTTAATATTAAAATTATTATCGCACGAACCAAGAGATCTTATTAGTTAAAGAATTGTCTTTATTCCTTGAAGTCCTGAATTTAAGTCCCGAGTTTTTGAATATAAATTATCTTGTATCATCTCATACTAATTTAAGACATGTGCCATGATTTATAAAATAATAATATAATTCATGGTTTTTAATTTTATAATTTGAGTGAAGGTCAAAGTAAGGTTTAAACCCAAATATGTGATAAAATGTAAAACAAATAATTGGATACATATACTTTTTAATATTCTTGGGTGAAGGTAATATTTTTTAATTATTAATAATATACAATTTTTATAAATATTAACCGATTTTGATGGAATTTGATGGAGAGCTTATTAACAGATTTTGATAAGTTGAAGCGAGTGAAGTGAGAGTTTCCTTTTTCTTAGTCGCGTATGTTTGTGGGGAGTGGTCAAACTCAATTTGCCACCGCGTTTGAATTTTGACGGCTTTTGTAGTTGACGTGGAAGCCGCCATATTTGAGAAGAAGGAAAACCAACGCGCTACTTCCAATCTCACTCACTCACTCAACCACTTTCCTTCAACTACTCGTTTAAAATACCCCCTCGCTCCTCAACTCACAATTCTTCATTTCCAGCTCATCTTCCTTTTCATCTTCACTCTTCCAATTTCCATGGCTTTACAAGCTCTTAACTCTCCAACTTCACTTCCCTTTCAATCTCATGTTCATTGCCTCCACTCTTTCACCAAGGGTAAGCGTTCTAAGCGACCTCGTTTTGACCAGGAAGACGAATACCTCGCACTCTGCCTCCTCATGCTCGCACGCGGCGCTTCAGACAACTCCTCCACCGTACAACCCCCGCAAGAAAAACTTGGCTTCGACTGCAGTGTCTGCAACAAGGCCTTTCCCTCCTACCAGGCTTTGGGTGGCCACAAAGCCGGCCACCGTGATCTTATGGCCGCCAACTATGACCGCTCAACGTCAACGACCACCTCTTCCACATCCAGCGGTAGATCCCACCAGTGTTCCATCTGCCACAGAAGCTTCCCTACGGGGCAGGCCTTGGGTGGCCATAAGCGACTCCACTATGAAGGTGGCAAAGCTAACAGCGGGACCACATCTAAGAAACTAGGCTCCAGCAGTAGTACCAGCCAGAGGGGCTTCGACCTGAACCTGCCGCCTCTGCCGGAATTCTCGAGGACCAACTTCTTTGCTTCCGACGGTGATGATGAAGTGGAAAGCCCACACCCTTTGAAGAAGCCACGTCTCGTGATACGGATTCCACACAAAATGGAAGTCAACTAAACAAATACTGGAAATTTTTTCGAGGAAATTACACTACTCATTCCCTCTTTTTGATTTGTTGAACCAATATTCTTTACCCTGTATATAGCATTTGAAGAATTCCCCAACTCTCTCAATTGCTATCGTTCAATTAATTTTGTTTTAGTTCAGATATTATTTCATGGTTTCCAGCTAATTGGGAATCTTCATTCAATCAAGTTTGTTACATCTGTTACCATTACTATATCCAAGGTTTAATTATGAGAGAAGATGTGCATCATTCATTTTATGAAAAATGAAAGCAACCAAATACAAAGGCTTATATATACCAAGAATCATTGTCCAACATCATTTATATATATATATATATGTACACACTTTTCTTTGACTGGCCTATGCAAAATAAGAACCGAAGGTACCTAACCCAAGGATAGTTCCTTTCAAACTACATTTTAACGTTTCAATACAAAGTCCATAATATCATATCTTCATGCTTGTGAAATTCAATCAACTATGGAAACCTTTCTTCTTACCTTTGGAATCATAATTTGGGTTGGTATTGAATTTAAATCAGACAATTTTGTTGTCAAAGGTGGGAGATAACTGGTTTAGTTGTAAAATGAGCGTTCTAAGGCTACATTCCTTCACCTGGTAATTACATAACCCATAAGTTTTGAAACGAGTTTTATGTACCCCCAATAAAACACACCAGAATAGAAATTTACCCGCATGGCTGCAATTGTTGGCAATACTTGTTTGCATCGATAGAGTAAAGCAAGCTCGTTTGTGCTTAAATTTCTAACTTCTGACACCATGGTGTTAACTTCTGCAACCTAACCACAGAAGAAAAGACAGAAATTACATGCAAGCATAGAGAACCGATGAAAATCGATAAAAGCTGCTTTAAAGGGAAGATCTATTGTAATTAACTCATCTCAAATTCAATGAACAAATCCAAGAAGTGCAATTTGATCAACCTATATCACGTTTACTACTGGTACAACTCTGTGCAAACAAGCCGTTAAAAGCTAACACCATATCAATTTCATCAGCTGCTGTAGTTAAATGATTTTACAAACATAAAATTTTATGTTACTAGGCGAACTTATAGAATTTTAGCGGCCGAAAACAGATTATCAATAAAAAATAAACGAAAATATTTAAAATATATATGAATTTGAAATTTTCAACAGTACGACAGCCGCTCAGTCCATCACTGTGTCAGACAAGCTCTAAGGTTTATGTTCATACGATACTTGAAATTGTGGGTATGTACGGTGATGAAAAATATTCTATGCAGAGCACGAAAAGGGTAACAACCATAAGACAAATGTTGATCTATTTGTTGATAAAGCCTACAAAATTAAGAAAACATGGAAACAAACTATCCAAATAATAATCTGGTTCCTGTCGTATGGATGATTATTTTCATTCCACCTGGTTAACAAAGTCAACCAAATGCCCGCTTATCATTCAGAAAGATTAGGTGTCAAAGTATGAACAAAAGAATTAAACCAAGGCCTTTTATACAAAGGATAAAAAAATAAGAACGCCCACCGTGGGGCTCGAACCCACGACCACAAGGTTAAGAGCCTTGCGCTCTACCGACTGAGCTAGACGGGCTTGGTTGTTGAACTTCTAGGCATAACTATTTTTTATCATTTTATAAATTAATCCGAGCCAAAGACCCTACCTACCCAATCCCCATTATTCATAAGTAGACGCAAAATCTAACATGTTTCAACACATATAAGAAACCTATCAAAGGTTTAATTATGAGAGAAGATGTGCATCAAAAGCTAAACCCATCATCATTCATTATATGAAAATGAAAGCAACCAAATACAAAGCTTATATACTAAGAATCCTTGACTAAAATTCGAAACACCGTTTATACATATTTACACACTTTCCTTTGACTGGCCTATACAAAATAAAACTAGAAAGGAAAGGTACCTAACCTAATTTCACTTCCTTTCAAACTACACCTTCAGAAAGACATTTATCAGTAACGAAAGAAAATCTTATACATGGCCAAACCGTTTTAATTATAGAGAGCATGATACCCACAAGAATAAAAAGGATTAATCAACCTTTAGGTGTTTGCCAAAGAATGTGTCTGCACTATCTTATTATTAAATTAACTTTTGTCTAAACTACTGCTTAGGAAAAAATGAGTCTGCAAATAAAAGGGGACCAAAGGAAACTCCGAAGTTTGGGCATTAAAGAATGAAGGGTAAGGGGAGGAAAAAGGGATGAGGTCAACAAAAGAAAGATTTACCTTTGATAATAATGACCATATGGAGGATGCTATTGCCTGCATTACATTAACTGCTGAAAATATTGCTTCCTTCAATTTTGGGATATCAGCCTGTACAAATAAGACGACAAGCAGTTTTTCTCCCCCTTCTTTTTAAGACCCACATAAAGTAAAGCATTGACAGCGGAGATGCTAAAGCTTAAAGGAAATGATCAAATTTCAGAATAAGGAACTTACTCTTGCCCCACAAACTACTGGAAGGCGGAGTGTGCTTGCCGTCAGAGCTTCGATAGCCCCAGACAAATAACTGCAATAATCATGGTCCAGGACAGCCCATTCATCCAAAAAGATCATCTGCACTTATCAATGAAAATAATATGCTATAAATAAAAAAGCACACAATTTCTTGAACTGAAATATGCAATCCAAATAAGATATGGCAGACAATGAAAAACTAGTAACAATTGAGTTAAGATCAACAAAATAATCAGAAATCTTAAAACAAACAAAGAAAAAAATCAAGCCTACAGTAAACACATCTAGTAGGGAGCTATCGTTCTTACTTGCCCCTTGAGGATGGAAATCAGCTTCAAATTTTGCCTCAGCAATTGTAATTCATTTCTTTTGGCTCTAACAGATTCTCGCAGTTTTGAGGTAGTAGTCCAAGCATTATGGAGGCTTTTCTGTAATAGGAACATGTTAAAAGAATTCATCCTCATTTTTACTAACTAAAAGGAAGATAATCATTTTCAAAAAAAAAATATCAAGGAAGATAATCGAAAAACTTGAATTGTTAGTAAACCGAGAAACAAGAGATGGTTAAAAAGAGATAGATGTACATGTATTATTGATGACTTTTCTGTTATACGAACATGATGACAAAGGATTCTTCATCATATTTTAACACGATCAAACTCGTTTTAAGCCACAAAACAACCCTGCTGCTTGCACGCTACAGAATTTCTACACCACAAAAGTAATTATAACCAAAAGCCAGAATGCCAAGCGCTCTAGCAGAAGTGGCCTGAATAGTTTCAGTTCTAACAAGAAAACACTTTTTTTCCCACAGCACATAATTCAACTCAGTTTTGTTGGCCAGGTTCTAGAGTTTTTTAATGAAAATTTTCAAATTCCAGGCAGTATGGGCAAGATAAATTGTGACAAGCCAGGCAACTTTCTCACAATTTAACATAACATGAAACCATGATACTATATAATAATAAAAGTAAATCTTAACCATAATCCTCAAAAGGTGATGGAATGCAACATTAACAGCTACGAGTTGTGCTGCCAAATTACACTAAGAGGGAATACCTATGAATGTTGAAACAGTACAGCATGCAAACTTGAAGCATACAAACAACAAGGTAGCAATAGGACAAAGCGAGCTACTTAGTTGAATACAACAAGAGAGAAATTCGAAGTCAATACCTCTGTGTTAGACCTTTTGGAAGACAGAGTCGCATCTGCTCTAGCATTAACAAAACGCCACTGCAACAAATGGTTATGGAGTAACCTCAATAAATGAGCATCCGAAACTTTGTTCTCTCCAATCTTAATAGCATCACCAACTAAGCTCAAAATCGATGGCCTATTTACCAAATTATCACCCAACCCAAGCTTACTCGGTGATGCAGGCCGAACTGGCCAATGAATTGACCATAACTGGCCTCTGCTGTTCGATACACCTTTTGGAGACGACAAAGGACTGTCAGTTCCGTACTTGTCTCGTACAATTTGCTTAGAACGTGCTGTATTTTTCTTAGGAACCGGATAACCAGGATCGGACCGGCATAAACGATTAGCAGTATCTTGCCAGGACCGAGCCGAAACCATTATTCCCCGAGGCCCACGCTTAACATCACCGTCTACGGAAGAACTTTCTGGAGCTCCTGGAGTACTACCAGAAGAAACACTTCCGGTATCAGAAGCCGCGAGATCATATTGAGGCTTAGATTTAACGGGAGTAACGGCTGTTATTTCTCTATTATCAGTCATGGAGAGCTGCAGTGCCCTAACTACATTGCCGTTAACAGAACGGTTAAAACTCTTCCTCTCGTCGGTGCAATCAACGCTTCCACTAGTAACCGAATTTGATAGCCTTAACTTTGCCGGCCACCGCTCCGCTTGCTCTGTTCCTTTCCGTGGAGTCGTTGCTACCGTTGTCTTCCACCTCTCCGGCGTCCCTTTCGTTGCCGCGCTTGGTGATGGAGCTGGTTTAGCTTTCCTACACTTATAGGAAAACGGCTCACCATGAGACGAAACGGATAAATCACATTTGTTACTGTTGTCACCGTTACTAGTTTTCAAATCCAAAGAATTACTAGGCAGCGGCGTCACCGCATGTCTCCTCTCCACTGCTTGCGACCGCTTGCTAGCCAATGGAGTCGTGCGTTTTGTCGTGGTCATGGCCTTCGAATGAGAAGTCATCGTCGAAAATAACGTCAGAGGACAGATTTTGGTGGGAGGCGAGGAAGAATTTGATGAGGACGTTGACATATAACGAGAGGTGAACTTTCCGGATTTTTTACGACAAGGAGTGATGGCATTGTCGGGGTCGGAGGTCAACAGCGGAGGCCGCGGCGCGTTTTGGTTTAGCGGAAGCCCTCCTCCGAGCTGTTTGGGTTTTACCGCTGCGGAAACGGCAGCAGCAACCATTGCCGGCTTCTCAGAAAATTCAATTCCACAGTCTGATTCTTTAATCTCACTCTCCTCCCAATTCCTCCAAAAATTTACTTCCAATTATATATTTATTTTTTTTAAAAAATGAAAAATCAGAACTCAGACAGTTTAGGATTTATGTTTTAAAAACATTGGAATTGAAAATATTTTTTTTCTTTATAAAGTTGGAATTTGCAGAGAGAAAAAGAAAAAGGAAGGGCGGGAAAAGTAGCGTTGGCGTCCAAAGAG